AAAAAAGCGGTAGTCTCACAAAATTTTTACACTGTGGATGAGAACAATGACAAGTAGGTGCTATGAAATGAACCTAATCAAGACTTACCAGCAACAATTGATCCGAGCAGCATGACAGCAGGAAGTTGCCAATGTGTAGAATACAGAGAAAGCCAATCCAGGCGAATAGCAGTTAGCCACCAAAATGTCTTAATAAGCTACTTCTTTTGTGCACTAGCCAAAAAAATACTGTTGTCTTCACCTGCATTATCACCACAGGAATCAGCAGTGCCACATATTTTCGATATTTGATAAGAGCAATGTCCAGAATATCGGCATCTTCCGGTACCTCTTGTAAGCATACTGCGGTTTCGTCTAGGTATTGACCTAAATTCTTGTTTGAAAAGGCGATGAAATAATGTGAATAAAATGGAAATATCTAACCTTCCCAAAAATACTTCCTTATGAATCCTCTCTTCTCCTTTTTCTCTTGAAACATATCGGAATTAGCGGCACAGTTAAACAAGAATGTAGCGTTTTGTGATCTAAACTAGACACATAAGTAGGTATTACAGTATTGGTAGCCTGCCTAACAAAACAAGTGGTGTCGCAAAGGTCACGCCCATATTGTAAACTTATGATGGATTGGAGCGGGATTGTAGTCGAAGCCTCTCAATAAGCTTATGGATTTGTGTGTCAAAAATCCATAAGTAATAGTTTTAATATAAAAATGCTCTTAGTTTGTTTAGTCAAATGTATAAAGATCTAGAAATCAGAGAATGGATGATCTGCTGCCATCTATTCATATATATAATTTGGTACACTGCGGGCAACGTAGGCCACTTTAGCCGGTAAAGTATAAGTATCAACTGGTTCAGTCTAGATTGGTGAGAATTGGTACATGGAGGAAGTTGACATGCTGATTACAAATATGATAACCATTCAAAGATTTATCGATTGGTTTCGTTGATTGATTGATAGTTCGCAATTTTTACTGTGAGGCGATGGAATTGGTGGGCTGGGATGTTATGCTGATTAGATAACCAATGAAGGAACGATTGATTATAGATTGGTTTTCGCGCTTTTCACTCTGAGGCGCCCGGATTTAGTGTACTGAGGTAAGTTGATATGCTGATTAGGAATTTGATAACTGGATGTATTAATCGATTTTATTGATTAATGGACTCTTCGGACTTTTCACTTTGAATGAACAACGAATAAAATGCTCAGATTGATGCTTATCTGGATGCTGTAGTTATTTACAAGGCATAGAGTTACTAAAACTTTATTTTTACACTGAAATATTGATAGTTGAGCTGCTCCTTTCCAGACAAAATTTGATCCAAAACTAAGAGAACTAATGACTAACCAGCCGGCCATAGCCAGACTTCACATACATATGCTTTGGCACACTGCGAGTAAAGCAGGATATATCACCCGAAAGAATAATATTTGATGTTACTGATTCGCTCCTTTGTTCTCGCTCTAGACTGTTGGGAATTGGTACACCTTCATTAATGTGCTAATTACAAGTATGGTTACCACTTTAATAGTCATCTTCGTCTTGTTGATTTATTGATTTCTCGCAATATTTGCTCAAAGGCGCCGAGAATTGGTGTGCTGGAGTAACTACATACGCTTGTGAATTTGATAGCACTTAAAGATTTACCATTTTAAGATTTACCAATTAATTTTATGGATTTATCAGTTTTTCGCAATTTTCGCGCTGTGGTGCTGGGAATCGGTGAGCGATGGTTTGTTAACATGCTGATTAGGATTACGATTCTCATTCGAAACACATCTACTGCTTTTATCATTTTTTCTGTGTTTTCCATTCTTAGCTGCTACCAATTAATATATAGCTGTATGCTAACTTGTTAGATAAGAGCATGGTATTTAATTTATGCTGTCTAGATTTACTGAAACACATACATCTGAGAACTAAACTATGCTCTTCTCAGAAACAATTGAATCCAAAACATAGAAAACAATGATAACTCTAATTCAGCCGGGCGTACCGGATACAAGCTAGCCCTTTATATATTTCGACTATTCTTTTCCATTCTATAATCGAAATAGAGCTATAGCATAAAGTAGATATCAATAAGTAATCTAAACTTTACAGTTCAGAGAGTTAATGTGCCAAGTAGTGTAAGTAATAATCCTTCCTATATATGATATTTCACCTAATATCGAATTGCCATCTGATTCGCAAGTTTCCTACAAACCTTGTGCATTCCCAAAAATCCTAATGAGAGATCCTTAATGAAATCAGCTTTTCATGAGGTTGCGTTGTTGTGTTCGAAGACGCGTCTGTAAGAAAATGGAAAATAACATTTTCTTGCGGATCTCCTTTTTGAGTCCTTTTAATCAACAAGATTCCATTTTCATAGGTATGTTTTACGATTAGATTCTTCGTCAAATACCCTTTCTAAAAATAACAGATATGTTGAGGAAACTTTAACTTTACGCTATGGGTTTTTTCAAACATTAATAGAAGTTGAAAAGGATATTTTGTCCTACATCTACCGTTGGGAAATTGTAGAAAAACTCTCATTTTTCAAAGCATGCCATTTTTAATATAATCCAGTCGGTGCGGAAGTATCACAATGGCATGTCAGGTAATGGACGGAGCACTTTCCGACACCTTTTCAAAAACTCTAGCTTCGCTGACATCTTTCATCCAAACCGCATTGTAGAGCGTCACCGTTGGGAATGGTAAGACATAAAGTCATGGTCACTCATTGTTCACTAGTTAAATTAACTTTGATTATAAATTCACATGCGCTCCTTACGGTAGGCACTAAGTAGCGTTGTGAGAAGGACGATAAGAATTATTCAACCCAATAATCAAATACGCAACATAACGCTGAAGGGTCTAATAATGATTGTCGCAGTCAGCATGGAAATAATCCGCATGGGTAAAGTTTAGCAAAAACCCAAAGCTGTGAATTGGTTCAAGAAGAAATGTGCAGGCGCTAAATGCTTTTTTCCCCACTTCTCGTCCCATTTCGGCAGTTTTCGAATCAACTTAGATCAGATCTTTTGGGAAAACCAAAAACTCGTCCTCTAGAAAATACCTCTCAAACAGTGAATGCATATCGACAACACTTTTATTATCTCTTTTGGAAAAGTATGAATTTATGCATCAATTCTATCATTAACAAATGTAAATGAATTCTAATTGAATAGTAATACGACAGAAGTATTTTTGTCGCAAACATTGTCATTCATTGGAGCTCTTGGAGCCTCAAATACTGATACTTATTCCGTTGAAGAGAGTCAATCTCCGCCAGGAAATTGATCTAAATGGCGGTTTTCTTAAGGCTTTAAAGTTCCAGAATAAAAGAAAGGAGCTTGCTCCTAATTTTGTCAAAGCAGTACTTTCAAATATGAAAAGGATGTGCAAACTTTTGAGGAAGGCTATATTGCGCTAACGTTAAAAATGCGGTAACAAGGTCAAAAAAGCCCTTTCTATAGGTGTTTTCTAAGACAATGATGACAGTGTACATTTAAAGTTTCCAAAGTCAAGCAGTTGAAAGAATCTGCGAGCGCGGTCGCATCTAGACTGCATCTAAATTCGAGAAACTCAGTTTCACGCGAAGCACAGGCGTATTTTTAGTTTTAGAGTTTTGCAATCCTCAAATCATCCTTAACTTATTGCTGTTTTCATTATTTGATGGAGTTGGTCTTTTATAATTTCTTTGCTTCTTTCAAATGT